GTACTTGGGAGGGGGCTAGGTTCGGACTTAGACAAAGAGGAAATATGATACAGCTTGTCAGAGGTGGAGACTATAGCCCAGGACAGATGTAAATTTATGGAGAACTCTTGTTGGTGAGCCATACAGTTGCACAAGGGAGAAAGGCTGATGATGGAACCCATTACGTCATGTATACATTTCAAGCGTGGCTGCAAGCAAATGCGTGATAGGGTTTTCAGTAGGGATGACCTATCAAGATACCAACCCCCCCCCCAAAAAAACAACAACAAAAAAACAACAACAACCCCGCCTCTTCCCCCACTTAACATAAAGCCCTCCACTGATTACTGATTGGTTGAAAGTTTTACTGTTTCCCCACATCTATACACTATACACCAGCCAGCTCAAAACGAAATAAAACCTTCCCTGAAATTAGACCTAAGAGACAGTTTTTCTAGTTTAAAAAATGGCCGAAACTTTTTCAGCCGCCAAAAGTTGTCAAGTAGTTTCAAATATTGAAGCTTCAGCTCGTCGCCTCAATTCACTGATTTATTTTTAGTAGCACGATCTGTCTGTCCTGTTTTCCAGTGGTTACACAGCGTGACAGCTGTTTGTTCTCGTTGTATCAGAATTAAAACCCCTTTATTCTATGCCATTTTCCCGTGCATGCTTTCTATTTCTATTCTTTCCTTGACTCAGATATTTATTAATCTCCCTGTATCTGTTATAGATAGCTTTTGAGGGTCACCAGCTGGCTTTCGTAGCATCAGAATTTATTTGAAACCCTCTGTCATTTTCCAATATTTGTACACGCATTCTGACCTTGATTCAGGTTTTATGAATCTTTCTGTGTGCCTTTTGTGTGCCTTTTAATGTAAATAGTTCTTGAGGGACAGAAGTTGGTGTGGGGCATCAGAATTAGAGTAGAGCCCCTTCTGTGTCATTTTTTAATACGCGTATTCTTCTTACTTTTACTCCGTTTTTATCTCTGTTCACCTCACAAATAATTGCGTTTGGTGGATAGCAGTTTGTTTTCGTAGCATCGGCATTAGGAATTTCCCAGGATGTACTTTTGCATTCTGATCTTGGTTCAGATTTATGAGAATCAGAATTATGAATTTTCCAGTATGTACTTTTGCATTCTGATCTTGGTTCAGATTTATGAGAATCAGAATGATGAATTTTCCAGTATGTACTTTTGCATTCTGATCTTGGTTCAGATTTATGAGAATCAGAATGATGAATTTTCCAGTATGTACTTTTGCATTCTGATCTTGGTTCAGATTTATGAGAATCAGAATGATGAATTTTCCAGTATGTACTTTTGCATTCTGATCTTGGTTCAGATTTATGAGAATCAGAATGATGAATTTTCCAGTATGTACTTTTGCATTCTGATCTTGGTTCAGATTTATGAGAATCAGAATGATGAATTTTCCAGTATGTACTTTTACTACCTTCTAATCTTGGTTCAGATTTATGAGAATCAGAATTATGAATTTTCCAGCATGTACTCTTGCTTTCTGATCTTGATTCAGATTTAATTAACTTCTGTGTACCTTAGAAATAGATTTTGATTAGAATCTGATGCCTTGGGTGCTGTTGGATGTTTTGATCAACTTTGGGGGATGATCTTTAGATTTGTTTTTGCGCGTGGTTGGCAGGTGCTCTGGTGTGGTTTGCCCCCTTTTCTATCGAGCATCTCTGTCGTCATGATCTCTCCTTCTTTTTGTGTTTGCTACTCTCTTGTAACACCTCTCATCTTCGGCACTCATATGACCTAATTGTGTTGCAAATGCCGCAAAACTCACTATAACCAAAACCACTGTGTGACTTACTTATAATATAAATACGGTATAGCTTGTGATCATGATCGGTTCTCTTGGGCGCCGCTAGATGTTGAGATTGAATTTTGTGATAATCTTTTGAAGCGCCTTAGTTGCACCTCTCCAACGAACAAACTGGTTTAGGTTAGAATAATGTTGTTGTTTTAGTATTAATGCGCACATATGTACGAAAGGCTTGTGAATAATAAATGATAACTTTTGTCTGTACTGAGTTCACAACTCGACGTCCTGTGAAATTACTTCACTTTAAACTTCTTCGTATGGTCGATTTTAAGCTCAAGGGGGCTATCCCGAAAAGTGCTGTTTGGAGAAAATCGAAGGTCAAATTTTGGCCCTTTGTTCAGTTTCTTTTAAATACAAGAAGAGTTTCCTCTATAACCAAACAAATATACACGCCAATGAAACCAAACCTCTCCTATAGGTAGGGCAATATCCACTTTTGGTGTAGGTCAAGATTTCTGGAAACCCCCGAAATCTGGGTTAGCCCGCCGCTTGTCCTTAAAAGCGACCGTATAAACTAACAATGAGGTTTATGAAATACTAACAGTGGTAACCGAATCTACAGTGCTACAAACGATGCACAGCTCTATTATAAAAGAAAGAAAGGCATTTTTAAACTTGAAAAACTGGAAAACCCATAAAAAGAAGGAAAAACCCCAACTTTTTAAAGAAGACTTATACATTTAAAAAGATAAATACACAGTTGATCTTATCGTCACATCTTGCGCAACTGAACTATTGAGAACTACTTTTTTATGTATTGACTTAACTTTTAGAAATCTCTTTTGGCTTCTTATGATTTGCCATTCTTCTCCGTCTACAAAGGAGTGTACGTTGTCGGGGGTGGGG